GCGTGGGCTCCCCAGAGCGGGCCGGGGAGCCGAGTGGGCTACGGCAGCGGGGGAGAAACGGCGCTGCGGGCCCCGGTCCGGTACCTGGCGTCCGGCAGGGGCTGGTGGACCGGGGTGACGGCGGCTGAGCCTCCGCGGGCTGGCCGAGGGTGGCCATGGTGGTGTCCACGTCAGCATCCTCGTCCACCTGCTCGGAGCTGGTGCGCTGCTGGCCCCAGGAGAACTTGAGGTCCTTCATCCGCTCCTTCTCGGAGATGGCGCGGCCCGCCTCGTCCGGGATCAGCAGCTCCGTCTCAGCCAGCGAGCTGCCCCCACCCCGGCTCTGCCCGTCGCCCTCCCCCCGGTCACTGCTCGAGTCGCAGGACAGGAACTCGTCCTCTGACGGGCTCCGGTCACTCTCCCGCTTCTCATCCGTGTCACTCGAGTCTGAGTCCCGGGCCTCTGCCAACGCCATGGCTGCGGCCACCACCGGCTCCTTGAGCTCCTCGTGCAGCTGGTCCATCAGGCAGCGCAGGAACTCCTGGGTGTCCTGGAACGGGGGCGCATCAGCAGGCCTGCCGGGGCCCGGGGAGGGCAGACTGGCCATGCACCCCGCGTCTGTTGACCAGACGCCGGCCGTCACAGAGGGCCCACGGGGCGCCTGAGCAGCTGCACTGCTACCCCGAATCCAGCCGAGCCTGCTCTGCTCTGCACCCCAGCAGCCCTGCTGCCCCCAGCTGAGGGGGCCTGGGGCTCGTGGGAAGACAGGGGTAAACCAACTCCCGCAGCACATGCACCTGGGGGCACTGGCGGGGGCCATGGCACACTGCCACTGGGAAGGCCAGGCTGTGTCCAGCCTTGGTCCCCCCCAGACCCCTGCTCTCTGGGTCTTACCAGCGCCCACACCTTCCCGCGACACGACCTGTGGCCCGTGACTCTCACCTTCCTGCCAACCTGGGCAGGCTGCCACTGCAGGCTGGCTGGGGCTCCGGTCTCAGCAGAGACACCGTCACTCTGGCTTCCCTGGGACCGGGTGGCCGAGCCAGCAGGAAGCCAGGGTGTTGAGGCCCCTGGCCCAGCCGAGAACTGGCACTCACAGAAGAGCTACCAGTCAGAGGACTGCTGGCAGCCCGCCTCCCGCCCACAGCAGGGCCGCTCAGCCCGGGGCCCCTCTCCTGCTCACATGAGGCAAGGACTCTGTGCACCCGGTCCCGGCCAAGCACCCCAGTGTCCTCGTTCCTCAGTTCTACTGGAAGGAGGATGGGACTCTGGGTGGATTTCCTTAGCCAAGGGTCAAGCACGCAGATTAGAGAAATGAATCGCTGGCTGATCCTCAGGGGGGAGAGGGGGAGGCAATGTGTGCCCTGACCTGGAAAGTCCTTTCAAGAAAAAGGCGTTCTACCCCAGTGAGAATGGCACATCTTCACACAACTAGCAACAACACATGTTGGCGAGGATGCAGAGAAAAAGGAACTCTCCTGCACTGCTGGTGGGAATGCAAACTAGTACAACCACTATGGAAAACTGTTTGGAGGTTCCTCAAACTGCTAA